CGGAAGCTATTAGCAGCTGCAAGCAACCTTTAGAAGCTAGCAGCTGTTAAAGGTTTTCCCTGCAGATGTTGGAAATTACAGGGTTGAGGGGGTGAGTGTTGACGGGTGTAGGCAGTGCCTCCCTGATTTTGGGACTTTAAAAGCGCGAAAACACTGGCCTGCGCGGTAGATTATGCATGTAGCCTTGAAGAAGGGGCTTTCAGAATAAAACAAGTAGTTTGGCATTGCTAAGCTTTGAGCTGGGAGGCAGCTTGATTGTTCCGACTTCTTTTGAGAGCGGGTCCCCGTCGGTGATTTCGGCAGCGCACCGCCCGCCCGAAACCAGACAGCATGAACAACAACAGTCGTGTTTGGAGCTCCAACTTTGAGGATCTTTGAACGCGCACTCATCTTAAGAATAGGGCTTCCGACGGAAGATGGCAGCCGGCAGTGCGCAGCAAAATCACGGCAGACAGCGAAGCTGCTCAGAAACGTGCCGACGCTTCGAGGCGCGGAAGGGGGGAAACTTCGAATCAGAGACGGAGGGTCCAATCAGAGACCGAGTCCGAGACCACAGCGCCCGAATCACAGACCACGAGAGTAATTTCAGAGACCAGTCTCCGGAATCAGGCCGCCTAGACTCAGCGACCAAGGAGGGTCGAATCAGAGACCAGGGTGGGTTGAATCGCGATCTGACGGGTTTAGTCAGTGAATGTCAGTGACCTGTCCATGTCGAGTCCAGGGTGTACAGGTGGGGATGTGACTGCGCCTCAAGACCGTGCCGACAGCGTTCTGCCACGAGGGTGTGTCATCGTGGCAGAATGTATTGGTCCAGTGGGTTGGGTCGGTTCGCCAACTGGTGGGGTTGCCTGGCTGCTTGGGTTGCTCGGGTTGGTGAGGTCGGTCAGGTCCGTCGGGTCGGTGGGGTCGATCGGTGTGATTGGTCGGGTCGGGTCGGGTCGGGTCGGGTCGGGTCGGGTCGGGTCGGGTCGGTCGGGTCGGTCGGGTCGTTGGGTGGGATCGGGTTGGTGGTCGGGTGGGGTTGGTCGGTCGGGTTGGGGTCGGGGGTGTCGGGTCGGTCGGGTTGGTGCGTGGTCGGGTCGTCCGGTGGGGTCGGGTTGGTCGGTTGGGGTCGGGTTAGTTGGGTGGGGTCGGTGGGTCGGGTCCTGTCGGTCGGGTCGGTCGAATAAGGTCGGGGTTGGTATTCGTGTGGCCGGTCTGGGAATCGCGTGGCTGGTCTGCGAGTCCTGGTCTCCGATTCGACCCTCCTGGTCTCCGATCCCGGTCCCCTGATTCCACCTTCTCCTTGGGATTGAAACAGGACAAAAAACACAGCTCACATAACCTGATAATTGGAGGCATACCCTGAAAAGTGGAGGAAAGTGCAGGGGCTTAGGCGCGCCACGGTCCAATTGCAAGGGTTGGTTGTAAAGATGCTTTGTGCCGTGATCGTGGCAATGACACCGAGCACCCGCCGTGCTGAGCCACATCATGAAGAAACGAAGTGATTGTGGTGTGTAGGGCCCGCTTGACGCTTTGGAGGTGTGGTCCCCAGCTGTTTGGGCACACGAGTGCTTCGTTTTGAATGTGATAGGTTTTTTGGTTTCCTCGTGCTTTGCTTCCCAGCTGTGGACGCTGGCGGCAACAGCTTTGGTGCCTCCCAGCGTCTTCCCAAGCCAAGTTTGGGGTTTCGTTTATCTTAGCCTCACGGCTGCACCGTCGCAGGCTGGCGTCTTGCTTCTAAATGTCTTCAATCGATGGCCGTAAGGTTGCCACACGTCTCAACATGTTACGAATATTTGGCCTGGCAGGAGCATGTGCGGGATGAAGCCTTTTCGGCTCGTGGACGACGCTGAACTTGCTCGCAGGTTTCTGGTGACGGCATCCAAGCTTTCGCATTTTCGGAGATCCCTCCGATATGCTAGCTGCCGCTTTTCGTAGATGTTCCGCTTTTCGTAGAGTTTTGGGAACTTGTCCCCAAGATGGAACAGAGGCAGTCTGATAGGACAACCAAAAGTCTGCATGCTTGTCGTGCACCTCATAGACCATCTGAGGTTGCGGCTGTTGGATGAGGTGTTCGATTCACTAGATGAGAAAGAATCCATGGTGCCCACTTGTGGCAAGCAAAGCCGACCAGCGTCCAGCTGTAGACGGCCGACGTCCTCGGGCAGATATTCTGAGGTTACTCAGATGGCACGCTCGGGACCTTCATGGAAAACACGAAGAAGGCTGGAGGCCAAACGCGATGAACTCCGGAAACCCAACGCTCTTGCCAACCGCACGCCAGCGTCGGGAAGGACAGCGGCCTGTGCTTCAGTCAAAGTGCTCGCAAGGCCTGCTGCATCTCATAGAGTCCCACCGTTGAAGGGCCTGAAGGCCACCGGCGCAACTGCGCAGCATCCAGCGCTGTCGGAATCCAAAGGCCAGGCTTACCAGAATCTCGAGGATTTTCGAGAAAGAAGGTCAAGATCTACTGCCTCAGAAGAGATGTCCAGCGATCCGAGATCTGAAGCGACTTGGCTCAGTCTAGGCTGAGGGCCATGCTTGTGTTTTGGTTAGCCCCGAAGAAGTATGAAGAAGTTGGAAGGGAGGACGGAGATAAAGAGAAGAAGGGCAAGGGCAATCATTGTGGTACAGACTATTGGGTTCTCACGATCAGAGCAAAGACAGTTGGTTGCAAGCATTTCGCCAATACTTGGAGGGTCGCATCTTGGCCAGGTCCTGGACTAGGTCCCGTGCTCCTGAATCCTGCCAGTACTCGGGGGAAAGCATGGTGGGGTGGGCGGGCGCTTGATTGCGCCAGTACTTCGTGAAAGCAGTTTGGCCGTGCTGAAGAGTATCGCCACTACTTCACGTGTGACAGTACTTGGGGGAAGCAGGTTGGCCGTGTGTCCTGGTGGTTTCCTGGTCGTCTAGGGTTTTAGTTTGCTTATCGTCTTCCGTTATTTATGGGTCATTCGTCGTCGACCTCGTGGTCGCTATGGGAGAGGTCGTTAATATGTGATGTTCTGCAACAAATTAGTTTCAACATGCTCCCTGTATTATCCTTCACGTTCATTGCTACATTGGAAATTTGTTGTGAAATCACTGTTATGTTTCGTTGCTCGAATCTCAATGGTTGTGCGCATCGCAACAGTGTAAACGAGATGTAACTCTACAAAAGATGTTCCTAATCGTATCGGAGCATGAGAATAACCAAAACAAGCAGTATCTCGACTTTCCATATTTTTGCAAGGAAATGCATCTAATTTCCCTATGAGTAGCCTAGCTTTCATCCAACAACATGGAAAATTCCAACTTCAATACGAATCCTGTAGAGTTTGACGATCCAAACCTATACAAGAGTGTGGTTTTTAGAGGACGATGATGGGCCCGGATGACCTAGTGCAATTTAACGCATCCTCGCATACGTAGTATGCCTCAGGGCGGTTTATGGTGGTTCCAGGAATATAGGACACGCGTGCATTCAACTGTGCATTTGTCATGTTCACACTGTTATGTTCAGACAACCACATATTCCGAGCGGGTCATGGTGGTCGCGGTCGTCATTGTCTTATCACGGATTTACGCTGGCAGAATGCTCCTCAGCAGAGGGATGACAAAAACTATCAAAAACACCGAGAGCATTTGTTAATTGAAGTAGATACGTCCGTACGTTGAGAGCAATCGAATTCTTTGCAAAACGATAAGAGTAAACAAAAAAACGATATTCAATGTTCGTAACTTCAGCTCAGATCATACAGTCCCAAAGTCTTATAAAACGATAAGAGTAAAAAGTGATAACCATGTTAAGTGTCAAGCAAATGGCTGGGAGCATTGCGGAAGAGCGGGATCTAAGAGGTCACCCGACGAGAATCTGGAGACTAATCAAGCTCCTACAAGAAGCTCTTACCTACCCGAAGTCTCTACAACACGCTTGAAGTGTCATCTGACCCTCAAGCTGGGCCAAGGGGGGCAGAGATGCAGGCAGGACTTTTGCGCATTCTCCATGATGTTGCGACGCATAATGGTGGCATTGTGATGGGCAGGTTCCAGCCCGCGACCACTGTCAGAATCAAAAGCTTCACACGACCGAGCAAGAGTTGACGAGTCCGACACGAACACGGTATACACAGATGACGAATTCGAAGATGACGGCGACTAGGCCCTAGGTTTCACAAAACTTCGCGAGGGCTTTCAGACGAGTGCACCGCACTGCGAATTGTCAGCTCTTGGGATGCAAGATGCATCTTTGTGCTTTTCCAGCGCAGTGCGGACAGACTACAAAGAGTCTCTGCTTGGAGGGGGGGCGGTGGAGCGCTGGCAGGCGAGCGGGTGGGTAGACGAGTTTCGCTGAGGATGTGGCAGACCCTACCATGCCCAACATTGGGGAGGCGCTCGGCTGACGGCATTCTTCGATTTCAGCGGTTCAAAGGAACACTTCTCTAACCCAGAAAGGAGCTGGCCGAACTGCGGGGCCGTCTCGGGCGCGTCGAAAGGGCGCTGGGCCTGGCCGGGCCTGGCCCGGGCATCCCGGGCACGGCACGAAAGGCGCTGTGGGTTCCGCCGAGGCTCTGCAGGCCCGCCAGGGCCATGTACCTGGCGGACCGGGCTGGTCAAGCTCAGAGGTGCTTCGTTCCACGGAACCGCTGCTTCCCAGTGTTTCTCTAGCCTTTTCCTCTCGAGACTCGAGGTGCTCAATTTGCGTGGTCGCTTACAGACAGTCGGGCTCTCAAATTTTTACGAAGAAGCTTGCCTGTCGTAATTCCAAGGAGGTGCGAAAGTCGTAAGTATGACACATTTTCACAATCATTTTGCAGAACTTTGGGGTTTATCATTCCAAGCAAGAAATAATGTAGGATAAGAGTTGCGAAGTTGCACCCCTATAATCTGCAGCACACCTGGCTACTGCATGTGGAATGTGACATGTACAACTGTGGCTCGAAATACGTTAAAGACGATTGCCAGATGCCCAAAGTGCAATTGGCGAGACCAGCCTATCTCCTACGACTGGTTTGCCCCACGGACAACAAGTCAAGTGGCGTTCGATTTATCTTGACGGGAGTACATCAGAGCCCCGAAGCCAAACAAGAAGGAGTCCAGAACTGACTCACCTGGATGCCCCCCAGAACCGATTTGTTCGAGGTAGAGTCTGAACTCGTGGATGTCCGGGCAGAGCTGCGAGAGGCACATCTGCTCTGACGGCACCTTCTCCTGAAATTCGGTATGAGGCGAGCCATTTCTGTCTTGTTTGCAGGCTTGCGCGACGATTTCGCACATGGCATGCATGTGGGAGAAGATGGAGAAACCTGCAGCGGAAAGGCTTGATCGCGTTGCTCCAGTGCGGACGTGCATCGGCAGAATGGTACCGGTATATTTTGGTAATGAGCATTAATGTGTTTATACGTGTAGTAAATGAGTAAGTGGGTGGGTGGGTGGGTGGGTTGGTTGGTGGGTAGGCATGGTAGGCAGGTAGGTCGGTCGGTCGGTAGGTCGGGAGCAGGGGGCTATGTAGGCATGCACATATGCAGGCACGCAAGCAGCGTGTATTTATGCATGCCTGTATGTATTCAGGCATGTATGTGCGTATGGACTGGCTGGCTGATTGATTTGCTTCAGACCCATGCATTAATTCGGCGCGTGCGATGTTGGATCCTGTATCTTGTCAATCCTGAATGGACCTTCTTCTTTGTCGACAACATGCTGCGAAGGCGTACGCCTCCTGGTGAACTGCTCAGCCGTCGTCAAGGGTTCTGTTCATGCTGCAGAGCATTCATTTTGTCGGTGCCGAGCGTTTTCCAAGCGAATCTGCGTGTGTTCGTGAGAAAGCTCAGTTCCCGCAGCGACACCGCCACAAGATTCCAGGCTACTCGTGGGACTCGGACCGTGCCAATTCTCATAGTGGACTCTTGGTTGTTCAGGCTCGCTGGCCCTGAAAAGGCCACGGCTGCTGAACAGGCTTGAAATGGCTTTGCACGTTAGCAGTTGCCGCATACTTTTGTTGTGTTTTAATCTGCAGGATTTGAAACTGGCTAATCCAGGGCAACCTCCCGCAGGGACCCCGGCTCTATTCTGTTTGCAATCAGATTTGAGCGGTTGTCGATATCAGGATCCTTGACAGGTTCCTTAGTCTAGAAATGCCTGCTAAACGAGGGATCTTCAACATATTTGTAATTCAGGCAGAGGCCCATGTGCACGTCCAGGACACGGCAGAGGCTTTCAGGGACACCAGTTTCCGATTGATCAATCTTGCGCAGCCGTTCATGTTCTTTCTCAGACGATCTTTTGCAGCTGACACCTCTAGATATCAAGAAAAGCTCTGCAGCAGAGCTTGCACCTAAAAAGTCCAGTGCGTCAAAGTGTAAGAAAGAGCGTTTGACACAATGAGCTTTCTGGGCGCCGGCTATGACAGCGACGGTGAAGACAGCACCGAAGCACCGGAAGCAAAGGTCCAGGCTGTCTGCTACCGTTTGAAATCAACTGCACCTCTGTGTTCTCTGCGCGTGGTCCGTGTCAGAGGCGGGGGAGCCATCCCCAAATTCAGCAGAGAGCGGTCCTATGCTTGGTTTCGCATCATTGGCTCTAAGATTAGTCGATGTGCTGCCGAGGCGGCGATACACTGGCAGACGAAGCCTTGCTCAAGAAGCGGAAGGCCCACGCGACAGTATGGGGGGGCATTGGTTGACAATAAATCATGTGTGCTGCCGACTTCGAGCTTGGCAGATTGACTACTCAAAGCTGCCTATGTCAAGGCTGGGTTTAGCCGAAAAGTATTGTGAAATTGAAAGCCGGCAAAGTCTATGACCATCCAGCAAGTTGCATAGAATTTCGGTTGTGTCCTGTGAAGGGGGCTGAGCTTTGAGACTCCGCAACAGACCGAACTCGAGGAGGCACCTTTGAAGAAGGCAGAGCTGTGCACCAACGAGCCACTTGCACTCGTAGCCTTCTTTCGAAGCCTAGAAGTGGTTCCAGGCGGCAGAGCTGGCTGCCAATCCAGTGGGTCAGGGTTTGCTTGCGGCTCTACCCCCGCCGAAGGCATTCTCTGAAACAACGTTTGCAATTTGCTGCTGCGCATGTCTCTTTTTGATTAGGTGACACTGGGAAAGGAAACGGGATCGAGCTCCATCCGTCTAGATTTGGACGATGACGCTCGGCCAGCGCACGTTGGAGTCTTGCTGGTGTGACGTTCGCAACTTCGCGAGACCCACGGCGGAGTCCCATCTGAGGTAAAACCTGCCAGGCTCGTAGCGAGATGTGGCGATGGGGTTGGCCAAGATGACAGAGTTTGCGAACACGCCAGGAACAAGAGCACAGTGCCGGTGGAGGGCCTTCTCCGCCCAGATAATTACACAGACTTGGACGAGGAGGCCCGGTCAAGGCTATTCTAAGCACAGACCTTGAGTATGCATCGTTGTGTCTTAGCTGCAGGCCGCAGAGGTGCCAGAGAACGTTTTCAACCATCCCATGTTCTCCACCGACACGCTGCTTGCCTCAAAGCATCGTGTGCAGTTTGTGTGACTGGGAGTCCTGTGAGCATACGGATGTTGCCAATTGTTGTCAGAGGGCACAGCCAGACGGTCCATCTGTAGATGACCTCCTTGAGTTGATTCTCGGCAGCAATCTTCATGTCCTTGGAAATGTCCGTCATGCATCGTGGTGAACAGTTGCATCCGAGGAGAAAGCCGCGGCAGTTTGTCGAGGTCAATGCAGACGACATGAAGGCAAAACAAAGCAAACGCTGCAGCATCCATCTTGGACCCTGAAGACTCAATGCTGGCAAGCGGCATCGGCGCTCGTATGACGTGTGTCAGGGCTCGGCAACCACGGTGATGTAATCTTTGTCTTAGCTGTCTTAGCTTGTTTCGATCGACGGGAGTGGCAGAACCTCAGCACGCCGGAGAGAAGCATTTTATTCGGACGCTTCTTCTCGTGTGAAACTTCACCGCTTGCGTTTAAACAACCGATGTAGGATGAAACCTATAATGGTCGGAGCAACCTCTGGGCTACAAGGCCTCGTCTTTATGCTTCTTGTGCAAACTATCGGAGATTTGATAAGTCCTTTCTTGTTATCGACCGGAGGACCCCGACTGGTACATGAAAAACCAGATTGACGGTGGCCCTGGGCTTCTGACCAAGAAGCGCGTGGCAGACGACGTCTCCATGTGCGCCAGGGTGTGGAAAGTGTTTTTCATACCTCACGGTCAGAAGTTTTGGTGAGAGACCACCTGGACGAAACAGCAGTTATGGCGAGGTTTGATGGAAGGGGTTGGCGTCAGACCACGCACGCAAACCCCAACAAGACCCAAAAGCGGAAGCACCAGATCAATTGGCTGCTTGGATGCACGCTCAGTTGCTGAGGCTTGGCAAAGCAATCCGGTTTTGCATTGCGTTTGAAAGTGTTGTCAGTGAAGAGCCCCGGCCTGTGAGACGCAGCAACTAACTGACTACTGAAGGTGGGCGGCACAGCAAGCACCTCCATGTTGTAGGGAGCGTGTCAAGCAAGCGCTCAGGGAGCAAAGCGAGAGAGTTTCCAGGGCGTGCTCGCGGGTTGGTTGTTGAGGCTTGCTACAGAAGCCATGGAGAAAGAGGCCGAGATGATGGAACGGGGACAACAAAAGATTCTGTCCAAGGCCCATCCCCACGATAGCTTCAGAAGCTGCTGCAAAAGGCGATGTTCCATCTGATTTGTCAGGCGCAGACGCATGCCAAGTACGGTTGGTGAGTCTGCGACAGGACGCTGATGCACTGCCAGGGACATGCAGCAGAATAAATTAGAATTGAAATCTTGTTCCTCCCAAATGCTGTGCTAATGCTGTTCTTACACGTGCACATGGTGTTATTTTGTTTAGGTGTGTTTGTTCTGTCTATCTGTGCATCTACCAACATCTATCTATCTAGCTGATTGTTTCTGAAACCCGAACTGCAGTGGGCACTTCAGCGTCGCCTTGCCAGCTACACGAAGCCGCAGGGTAGCAAAATGCATTTCATCCGCTTTCTGGGACGTGCTTGGGGAGGCAGTAGTTCCACGGTTCCATGATACTGCTTCCCGATGTTCGGCAAAGATGCACCCGACAAAACCCGGTACTTTGGGTATTCATGGCGAGCAAAGATGATATTGCTTGTGATGGCCATGGTTGATGGGCGATAAGTATAAATAGATGTAGATAAACATACATATGTATATATATATATATATGTATATATATATATATATATATATGCTCTTGTCACAGGTTACTACTTTGTAAAGCACGTGGTCTCAGACACATGCACAAGCTCGTATTCAACTAAAGCACCAAATCATTGTGAGTGCAAGCTCGATCCACGGATTGTGTATGCCCTACTTACCCCATTTGGTCGTCCATAAGAGTTGAGCAGGCTTCGGGAGGAGACTTGCGCTCTTGGAAATTAGCTGGGGGTGTCGGGTGGGGGTGCAGGCTTGAGATCGGTGTTTGTGCACGGACCTGGTGATAGGGATACAAGACGGCTTCCCAAGCAGCTTCGTCACAGCGCGGATGCAGGCCACCCTGAATCCAAATTTGAATGGTTCCTGGATGTTGCGAGATTGCGTGAAACGCTCTCTTGTTGTAAAGTGATTGCGACAGTGACTTAGGGCACAGCACGCTCCTTGGAGAGGAAAGGTTGCGTCTAGCACCGACATCAGAGATCTCGTTGCAGGCGCAGAGTTCAGCACGAGCAACCGCGATGTTTCGAAGGTGAGGGGCATGCTTGACGTTCCTCCTTCAAGCTCTCCGCGCAAGCCAGCCTACCCGCTGATGGCCTGTGTCCTGGACTGTCGGCAGATGATGCTCTCATGTTCATGTCGTGATCGAGTCCTGTGGACAGGTGTCGTCAGCACGTCTTGGGCAGGTCGTGCGATGCATCTTCTAGCTGGTGGTTCAAAAGTTTCTGGCCAGGTCCAGCCCTCACAAGCCTGTGGCCTTCCTGCTCCGGGCATTGGACAAGGAAGCTCGGAGATGGGACTATCTTCGAAGTTTTCACCAAATGGCAATATCCATGGTGTTGCGTTACATGCAAAGGACTCTGCGGTTATATTCAGCGCCCGGTTCACCCTGCAGTTCTGCGTGTGGGACCTTCAGCAAGGGACCTCTGCGGCATGCTCCTTGGTGTGCGCTTTCAGACATTGAGGTGAGCACACCCCCGCAGACGCTTCGAGCAGCGGTCCGGTCGCTGAGCCGGCTTGGATGTGCCGTGTGAGCTGGCCCGTCCAGGTCGGAGTCCACCAACTCAGAGCAGCTCATGGTGGCGCGAAGCTCAGCGACACCAACGTGGAAGCAGCCGCGGGCCTGGCTAGCGAGAATCTTGAACTCAGAGGCCAGCCAATGTCTCCGGCCTGGCCCAAGCCCTGGGAATCGTGACTGTGAGCTGAGAAGTGTTCGGGCCATGGGCGAATGAGGCGATGGCAGGCCGGCCCGATGGGAACCCCATCAGCCTGACTCGCGGTCCCAGCCAATGATGACCTATCGATGAGGAGCCATGTTCTGGCTGGGCTGAGAGAAGCTGTTAAAGAGGGCCTTGCTCTACTGAATTGTTCTGCTCATGAATTATTCCCCTTTTGTGAAATGGAGAAACCATACTTGAGGGTCCTTTCGTTGCCTCCCTTTTCAATGAATCGCAAATTCCAGAGCCCGATTCTAGCGACTGATTGTTGGTGCAGGCGTGCAAGTAGCTTTTGATGACCGGTGTTTCACGCTCGCACTTCGTCATGTTAAGCTTAGCAATGCTGTCTCACTTTGTCAGCCGAGATTACCCCGTCCACTATTTGATACGAGCTGCATATGCTGCATGAAGGACCTTTGGTTCGGAGAAGCCGGAGAGCAGCTGAAAGGTCGACATGTAGATTGTGATTTTGCTCAATGTCCTTAGTTTTTTGTCTGGCTATCCGTCGCCGCAACTGCGCTTGACTTCACCAAAAACAAAAAACTTACAGGTGGTCTTTAATGCCTCTTTCTTTGGGCACGCGGCAGATCGCCAGCAGAATTCGTGTTTGCACGGCGGTTTTAGAGTAGAAGTAGTGTGCTAGCGGCTAACGAATCTCGCTTGCATGTGGTCCGGGTGTAGATGAGGCGATATTTTCAGCAAAGTCGCAGTGCTAAGCGTTTTTGTTCATGGATGTTCCTTATGTTGCTAACGGGTGCAAGGACGTGCATGGAAGCTAGACAAAGCCACAAGCCAGGAGTGAGATACAGAAAGACATAGGGGCTCGATACAAAGCTTCAGCTTTCTGGCAAGGTGTACTCCAGCCAACCCAGACGATAAAGTGAGAGTTTCTGCCTGGCTTCCACGGCAGGGGTCCGAGAATGAATGGAGTAACTTGATTTTTGAGTTTTTTGTTGAAGGCTCGGATTCGGTGCAGCTTTGGCTGGTTCGTGCTTGTGCGCAAATTCCGTTCTTCTGTCCTCAGCGCTTTCGCTTCTTCCCCATGTTACAGCTATGCCTGAGTGTATCTCACTGCCACCGATTTTTGGTTAAAGCATATGGGACCCTGTTCATCGAGCAGGTGCCGTGTAGGTCTTGAGGGAATCAATGAGAGAAGACGGCAAAACGTAAAAGACATACGCAATTCTGTAGGCCATGCAGCAGGGACATCGCAAAGGATGTTTATATCTGGTCGCGATATGTTCCATGCCACGTCTTGGGTTAGTGCAGAAAAACAGGTTGCAAATGACAGGATTTCTGCTTGAAGCCGTTTGTTGAATGCAGCAACTCGGCAGATCTAGCGCAGACTTCGGCTTCGCAGAAAAAACTTGGGATAGTCATAGGCGGCGGGTGGAAAGAGAAAGCTCTACGAGAAGAGATTTTCGTACGAGGCTGGGTTCGCTGGAGACATCGCTCACTTCTGGGATCGCCCTCAATTCGTGGAATCCGCTTCGTGAGTGAAAAAAGGACAGGATCCCAAGCATCAAAGGTGCTCAGCTCGAAGACCTGTTGGTTTCCCTCGAGCTTCTGGAGCAGGTTTTCGGGACTTTCTCAGGCTCAATTCGGAATGGCGCGCCAGACTTCGTAAGCATGGGTGCTGCTGCGACGGCACCTCGGCAGAATGGTTGAACTTCATGTGTTGACTTTGCCCCCTCGTTTTTACGTCTATCCCTCTGAGGTGCGACCACCGTCGCAGCTGGCACCACAGCGCCCAAAGTGGTAGAAGTGTAGTCGAGTTCGTGGAAAACGTTCAATCAGACCAGATGCACATGTCGTCTTGTAAGGTTTCTTGTAATCAAGTAATGATGTAGAAGCCGCCGGTCGTAACGATGCTTTCTAGGTCACAATGACACAAAGCCCAAGCCCGACAGCAAGGCACCACAAGCAGGCTACATGTGGAAGCAGTGAAGCGCAGCAATGGACTGCTTTCTCTCCGGCTTGGCAGGTCGGTGTCTCGTATTCAACGTTAACTTAATGCATTCAAGCCTGGCTCTTTCACAGGCTTGGTCCTTGCACGAAGCCAAGACGTGTCCTGGGCAAGTCCTCGAGCTCCTACCCAGAAGCTGGTGCTGCCTGCCACAACGGCCAGGCAGTTGTGTTGGGCAATGACTTCCTGTCGTCAAGACCTCGGCTTGCTTCCGTCTTGTTTGGACCATCTGGATCAAAAGGTTGTCAGTTCCGCAAAAATGTTGACTTAGGTCCTTCGTCGCTGCCTAAGCAGCGTGAGCTAGGGCATCTTCTGGGTCCTGTAAGCTTGCTTCCAGAACTCCGCAGTACCGTAGCCAAGGTTGCAGTCAGTGGCGATGCACACCAAGCCAAAGTTGCACAGGTGCTTGCAGACAGTGCCTGCGAGCCCGAAACTGACGCATGCGGCCGTGTCAGGATCTTTTTCGCCAGGAGGCTTGGAACTCGGAAGGGATCGCGGGGCGCAGGTCCCTCGCCGGTGTTTGCAGCATCCTCGGAGGTGCGATACGAAAGATCGCTGCAGATCCGCGAAGATATCCGTGATGTCAACAAGTGCATGTACTTGGCCCGCAAGCGGTAGTTGTCAATCATTATGGCGCACCGCCTTGTAGCCGACTGATGCTCGTGATTGGCTTTCGTGCAACTGCTCTGAGGATGGAGAGCGTGAGAGGCTGAAGTGATGACGTGGTCCGTACACTTGTCGCCCCGGTGGTTTAGAAACCGCACAGTGAGGTCCAGACCCATGTCCTGATGGGCAGCATCATTCTCGCGGTGTGCTTCAGCATGTCCATCGAAGGGTACCCGGGAGTTCGAACGGACAGCTGATGAAATATGCGACTGTGCTTCCCGTATCTTGTTGAGTCCGAAATCGTTCCCAATGAAATTTGGCATTAGGAGCGTCTGCTGGACCTGCTTTGGCTGCTTTTTACATCTTGGGCCTCGACGACGGGGTCTCAACCTGGCCATCGCGTGACATGATATGTCATGCTACGTGTAGCATTTCATCCAACTTGCCGTGCTGTGATGAGGTTCACTTTTGTGGCCTTGTGGCTGGCCTTACGCTTCCAAATGAAGATTTCAGGGAGCGCACGTGAACGCCTGCTACGGCGAGAGTCTCATCATTTCCGCTTGATCCCCCTGCAGAGTGGCAGTCGCGAGTTGTTGCAAGGGGCAGTTGGAGTGACATATTGTGGGACCAATGTGGCAGCAATCAGGCGTCATAGATTTATGGTTCCCGACGACCTTGTCGTTGGCAAGTGCGCGCCTGAGCTTCCGTGGCGAGCTGGCTGCCCGCTTAGATTTGAACCGTGCGACCAAGGATGGGTGGGGAAAACTTGGTCAACCAGATGGCGAACTTTCATAGCTGGGTGACTGCAGCTGCAGTGGATTACCTGACAGACTCATCAAAACGAGATGTTTTTTTCCGACTGCAACTCGACGCATTAGGTGCTCGAAACTATGGATGACATGGTGTCGGCCCAGACGGACGAGGAGTGAGTCGCTGCCATGCAGAAAGAGAATCACTGTGTGAATTCAGCAGGAGACACTGCGGGAGAAGTGCCAGCCAATCTTCTTGAAGCATGTGCCCCATCATTAGCTGTTCAGAGCCGATATCAGTTCAACGACCGAATGTCTTAAGGGCTTTCAGCAACACTACCATGATGCCGCTGGCTTGGCGTTCGGGATGGCGATGTCGGAGACGTCGCTGAGGCAAGCTGCTCGACCGCTTCGCGTGCCCGTGGCGCTCCTAGTAGTCCGAGCATCGAGCCAACGTATGCACATCCAATGGCTTGACTTGCGCCGTTTACATAGGTGGAAAGCTTGGACTCGAACGACATTGATGCCGAGCTCGACCCTCATGACTTGCCTGGTGCTGTTTACTGGCTCGGAGTTTGAGCTGCCAGTTGTCGCACCTTTTCAGCTTCACGGCTTTCCACTGACCCCTGTTGAGGCCGTTGCGAAAGGGTTTCCATGCTTGGCACCACGAAAGTGGCAAGGCCGGCCAGCCTTTCATTGAAGCACATTTTCCACCACGGCCTGATCGCGAGGGCTACTCGCAAAACAAGACTCTCGAAGTGCCATATTTCCTGGTGGGAGAAACCTGTGTGCCGGGAACTCGGGGCGGTGTGGGTTTCGAACCATGCATCATCCATGGACACTTAGAGAAGGCGGATGCAGTGGATGATGCTCGCTAACGGGCCGTCGCTCAAGATGAGAGTGCCGGAGCCTCTGGCCTCTGGCAGCTTCACAGGCCCGAGATGGCTTTTGTTCTGTGCAAGGTATGGCGATGCGACACTCTATGCGTGGACCCGAGAGCGGAATCTGTTTTGATGGTGTCTTGAAGGCACGGAGGAGACTCGTGAGGCTTTTGATCAGGAAGTCCTTGGGTTGGGAAATGTTGGGAAGCTATTTGGTTTTCAGGTTGGGGCCGGCTGGACGAGTTTGGATGCGTACCCCTTTGCCCAAAATTTGTGTCCCTGCCCGGAGCAAGAGAAAAGGTTTCCACGGCGTTTCAGGGAAAGGAATTCATGCGATGGTGAACGGGGTGGGCTGTTTGAGCCGATCCTTTTGTTGGCCCCTTAGCTTTTGATTTCTGGGTCTCCATGAACCTGAGCATGTTTCAAGGTGTCTGCTCAAGTTTTTCCAGGCCTGCCGATAGTCCGCTGCCGATTTGTGCTTGTCCGGGAATGAATTCGTGTTGCAGGTGACGCGGTCTTGCCGCAACCGTCTGAGAGAAAGTCAAAGACTTCTCACACCTCTGGCGAGTCATCGCCGCAGAGCCCCCTAAGTGCCAGGGTGCTCAGTGTGCAACAGCACAGTACGCTAAACATCGCCGAACTTCGCCGAACATGCCCCTGAGGCCGCTGGCGTGCGGAAGGCGTTACGCCTAGAAAGTACTGTGCCTGCGTGGCCTGCGGATGAGCTCCCATTGGTGTGGCGCTCAAAATGCAGGGATTCGGCGGGCTGCGTTTTGAGATTTCTGGGTTGTTTCTAGACACGCAGCAAGCTCAACTGTGGGAAGGAAGTCTCACTTCCTGAGGTCCGCACTGGCTTCAACGAAAAATGGCGAGGTAAGCCTGGAAAACGTGCAAAAGCGACTGTGTGCTGGCGCAAGTTGCAGCGAGGTGAGAGCGGCTATGGCGAGTTCCGGCGAGTTGAAGGCTTTTCCATTTTCGTGGACACACAGAATGCGATGGTCAGCAGCTCAGTTCAGAGCGCAAGCCCGGCAATATCTACCCGAAAGCAACTGCAAGCAACAGCCTGGTCCGTTTTGTAAGGAGCTTCCTCTCTACAAGATTGTGCTGGCCAGTCCAAGCGACTTCGACGAGGAGTACATCGATGTTCCTTGGCTTGCTGTCCCCGGTAGCTTAAGTACCCACATTTCATGAGCAGCATTAGCACGTGTTCTACAGGTGGTCATCCAGTGGAACTTCAAGACTGCATGCGAGGCAAGAAAAGGCCGTTGTGCCGGTCTCCGCGTCGCCGCGGGCGTCTGCGCCAGGCGCTGACAGTCGTTTTGCGCCGTGGGCATGTGCACTGCAAAGAGGAGGCTGCGGCCTCAGCAGTTTTGCGTGGTCACGTTTCAGCTGCCCTTGGCAATGCTTGAGTTGGCAAGGGCGCCATGACTTTGTTCTGAGGATTTCCCTCTCTTTGAGTTCAACACTGAAGTGAAAAAGCCTTGGCCTGAATAATGCCTACACAGCAACCACAGCCTGGCCTAGCAGTGCCTCACCAGGGCCGGGGCAGAGGGATCTCATCCAGTACATATGGAAAGCTTAGAGTCTGGACCCTTACAAACGGAGAAATCCGAGGATGTTGCCTTTGAGACGCTACGTGCGCCGCACAGAGCTGCTTCACGCGCCGGCTGCGACTGCAAGTACCTGTCATGCTGCAAAAGAGATGTAGCAAGTGTCTTCACATCGCGGAACGCATTGCTTTGAAGCTGACTCTGTTTCTCAGGCGGGAAACTTTCTGGCGGAAGGCACTATTTGCCTGCTGGTCCCGGTCTCGGTTTCAAGCAAGGGGAGCTCTTTGCCCTGTCGGGTGGAGACTCGTTCACGCCCGGGAGTTGGACTGTCGCTGTATTCTGAGACCGTGGTGCTTTTGCGGACAGAGAGCCAGACGACAGATAGAGTAGAAGAGTACGTGGGGGCAGTAGATCCAAGATGATCCAAGCTTACATGTGTCTCGCGAGTCAACCCTCCTTTAAACCGGCATGCTGAACGGACATGACCTTCGACTCTTCTTCTCGCCATGCGGTTGAGGGGATCGCAGCATTTCCTGGATTTTCTCTGAACCCCGTGGTGCGTCTTATTCTAAATTTCAACCGATGGCAGAGTGAGACATACATATAAGGACAAGCGGTGCACATATGCTGCAGGTGGCGACCTGTCTGCTGATGACGGGCAGGATGTATAATCTCAACATCACGGCGGGAATCCCGTGGGCGTTTGCGACCTCAGCCTGAATCATGTCCATCAATAGTTCTCTGCGCTGATGGTCCGCGAGGTTTGAGGTTGCCTTGTCCTTTGTGGCACTCATTCCTGGATGTGCCGACGGCCTACACATTTCAGAAGAACATCTGAATTGCGAGATTTTGCAAGCATCGGTCGACAGTTGTCGTCGGATCTTGCAAAGGTGCTCCTTCGAATCATGCCTGTTGAGACGGCACAAAGCGAGGTCTCTGTTCGTGTCCAGCTTTCAGTGTTGCACTGCGTGTGATTATGTTGCGCAGGTTTTGCAGATCGCTGAAATGAACGTGCAGCCCTCGGTGCACGGTATTCCTAGACCATCGCCTCACGTTCTCACGACCTCGCAGCGACTGCTTGCTGATCGGCAGAAATTGGCAAGGAGCCAAAGCAGTCGTTCTTCACACAGTTCAGAAGAACTATGTCTGGACGTGCGATGAGCCCCGGATGCGCAAGACCGGATCGTGATGTTTCCGGTAAGAGCTTTGATTTGATGCTTTCTATTGGTTGAATAATTGGTGCTGCTATGCTCCGAAGCCAATACGCTCACAGTGTTTCCAGCCCGAACCATTGTATCTGACAGGCCGTGGAGCAGGTGCGTGCACCATGCCGAGGGTCCATGACCCCAAGCCCGAAGCTATCAAGCAAACAAGCAGAGACAGAGACCCAGAGAGGGGCAAGCACGGGTGCTGAAGTGCAACATAATGCAGTAGTCGTCATTGTAACCCCCCCCCCCC